ATATTTCCCTTCAACTTCAAGTTTCAAACTGACGGAAAACCTTCCACGTTTCAAATTGTCAACAGTACTCCATCATGAGGAAATGTTAGAAAAGAAAGAAACAAGTGAATTTCGACGCCATGAAATCAGCAGTGAAATCAAAGGAAAAAAGAACAAGATCTACTGCGCATGTCATTTGATGTACGTCACAGTGCTTTGAGAGTACTGTACAGTACTTTTATTCTTTAAAACTCTGGTTTTCGAAATTTCATTCCAAGAATTTCACTAAATTAAACTCGCAATCGGAATATATATGTAATATTTACAATGTAACATATTTACATTTACATAATTTTCAGGAGAATAAACTTCAACATTTTCATAAGCAATTTACAAAATTTTAAATCGTCGAGAACTATGTGCTTGATTATTTACATAACTTTTTACAAAATTTACAGGGAAAAATTTGCAATTTTTTTCTGTTGAATATTTCTAAAGGTTTTTTCCATCAAACATTGATCTGTGTTGTGTTGAAATGTGCCAAAATATGATTGTAAAAATGACAAAAAAACTGCATATAGCTGAATTCTTTACTTCACTTTCAGTTTTTTTCTCAATACAGTATCTGTATCCCATTGATTTTCTGATAGATTTACTTTAGTATAAGTCATAGTTTTGAGAAGGGATATATGCTGTAAAAATTCACAATGCTTCATTTTTGGACTTAATAAAATCACATACAAAATCATCAGCCTCGGTGAAATAATGTAAAAAATCGAGTAAAGAAAGCTTCATGTGCTGGTCTGAATTTTAACAGAAAGTTCCGGTTCTTGTGATAGGAGGAAAAGCTGCAGTAAGTTGACCTTCTTATTAGCAGATGAAAGTGCAATAAAACCTAGCATAGATTCCACAAAAATAAAACTGATGCTAAAGCACTTAACCTCACAAAATTCTCATCCGCTTTGCGATTAATGGAGCCGTCGACCTCGCAAAGTCTCATGCTGGAGCATGCGAGATGTTGAAAATGTCCATCGCGACAAGGTATATATTCAACCTAATTTTTGGCAAAAATT